AGGTTATATAATAATACCTTGTTTTTAGTAAGGGTACATTGGAGATAAATACTCTCTTTTGGTAATAATTGCGCACGGTTTGGAGGCGGCAGTCGGATTTTGTAGATAGTTGAACTCGTACATGGGAGTTTTCTATCAAGGAAGGGTTGTTTGAGCGGTCTTCCGTATCGGAAGCAATGTGTATTGGAGGAAAGTCAGTTTTATGTATCGCACTGACTCTTCACGGATTTTGGTTATTGGTTTCGGCAGTAGCCTATTGTTTAGCGTTACCAACTTGTTAAGCGCTGGATGCATAGGACTTTTATGTGTTAGTTCTATGGAATTGGAAGTACGAGGGATGGTTACCCTTCATTAAATATTGGGTAAGATTAGATCGTTGCTAGATACAATCTAGGAGTTGCACATTTATGCTATTTCTTAAACATAGGAATCTTGTATATGGTTGGATGTGTTGGAATTTGGGTGGCGCTCATCTAAAGGGGCTGTGCCACACGAAAACGGAAATGAATTTTGCAAAGACATTAATTCAGATTTTTGTGAATTCCGAGGACGGAATTCATTTTGTTAGGGGGGAAGAATGTAATACCCCTAGTTTTCAAAAGGATAAAATGGGAATTTAATTTTGATTATCTAAGTGACTTATGTACTTATTTGACTAGTTGTGTTTATTGTATTTGTTTAAATTAATTGATTGATTAATTGTGTGTTTAAATTAATATTGTTTAAGTGTGTTTTATTTTATTATTCATTTGACTTGAAATTGTATGTGTGTTTTGTGTGATTTTTAGTCATAATTATTTATTTATTTTCCTTAATTATGTTTAAGGGTAATTAATTAATTAGTTAGTTAATTTTATTCCAGATATATGTATAATGAACGTAACTGTTGTGGTCACTTGTTTATTACCATGTTGGGTGATAATTAGGTTTAGGGTGTTATGATTAAGTAATTAGGTAGCCAACTTGTAGTTGGGCTGGACTTAGGGTTAGGATTACTGGATTTGGGATTAGGGTTTCAGAGGAGTCTATATATATATAACGATATATGTTGCAAGGGTTTTTGGGAGAAAACCCTATTCACGTAGGGGTAATTTAAGAGGAAAAACAGAGATACATAAAGAGGGTTGTATACACTTCAATGTGTATATTCTTGTGTAGTCTGTAAGGGTTAAAATAAAACATTATTCACGTAGTATTAATCTATGAAGCTAAGGAGGAAGAACAGAGGAATGGAACAATGGTCAGAGGTGGGAGCAGTATAAGAGAATTCTAAAACTTAGAGACGATGCTGCTGTAAGGTTTCAAAACGAAATCTAAAGGGAAGTTTCATTCTCTCCTTCCTGTAAACTTGTGTTCTGTGCATTCTATATAGTCTCCAGGGTTAATTCAACTTTAAAACTGATGGTTGATGCATGTGTAACAGACTGTAACTTGTTGTGTTTAAAGAATTGGAATCGGTTCCTGCATACTATGTTTGTTTATGAATTGAGATTTTTTGTAAATTAATTCAAAGTGGAAGGTGAAGAGTTTCTAGGACTCTAGGAACTTAGACGGAACCCTAGGAATGTAATTAAACTTTAAAACAAATATTTATGCATAATGAACCAAGCTGAAATCTGTTTTTACGTTTTGTGTTTCTAAATTTTTTCTTTGTTTCAACTGTTGCGATTAAGATTTAAGCTTCTGTAAATCAAATCCTAAGGGGATGTGAGGAGGTTCTAGGACTGTGTGGATGTAAATTGAACTCTAGGAAGTTTAAAAATCTGTATCAAAGGTGGGACGGATGGCTGGAATGGCACCGGAACCGAAGACGAAGGTTAGAGACGAAGGAGCGGGCTCTCAAGGAGAGAGAGTCGGCTCCCTAAGTGAGGGAGCCGGCTCCCAAGCAAGTAGAGCCGGCTCTCCATGAGGGAGAGCCGGCTCTGGAATATAAAGAGCCGGCTCCCATGGGGGGGAGCCGGCTCCTTTGAACAGATACCCCTTCGGGGGTATTTTTGGCATTTTTTCTGCCTTTGGGGCCTTAAACGAAATTTCTGGAAAATAAAGGGGGTTCTAAATACTTAAAAATTTACCTGTTGGAACCTTTAAACAGTGGGTTATGTTAGGATTTCATTCTAAGGGGCATCATGAACATAAACAATAGTAATGTGTATGTTGTCCGGAAGAAAGGAAGGGAGATTGACAGGCGAGTTGTTTTAGCAAAATTCAATAAACTGTTATAACGGATATTTCTGGGACTGTATATCAACAATGTCTAAGATATATTTAAGTTCCAAGAGGGTTGGTTAGGTTGTGGTTGTGGACATCGTGTAATTTAAATACATGGCTGTGTGTTGACAAGAGTGAAAGAGATTTTATTTGCTGGTTTATTTTAACCAGTTTACATGAGTAGGTATAAACTACCATTGGGGTTTTACACAATGTGCAGTGAGACTTCTCAGTGTCATATGATATCAGGCACAGGTTTTAGGATGCAGAATTAAAAAGGGACGTCATGCGTTATAAACGTTAACTTTCATTCCGTCAGGGATTGAGGATGATTTCTTTACTAGTCTCAGTTGTAATAATTTGAATGAACTAGTATGAGAGGATGGTTTGGGATTTCTAGCATAATGTACTCAGTTTATAATTCTGATAATCATTACACCATGCTATGGATGTTAGTTGATGAACCGTTGAGTTTATGTTTTATCAATTGTATGGATGTGAGTAATGTAAATTGTTTGTCATTACTTTAACAATTTATTTAGAGGATTTATGATTATAATCATATACTGGATGCATGATAGGATCTTAAAAAATATCTGATTTCTATTATGCTGGTTTCTGGATATGCTTGATGTTCTAATGAATGTGCATCATTTGTGGATCATTTGCATTATATGTACCGGTATGGGACGGTGACATATCAGGGATGGATTAGATCAAAAAGCTAAGTCCTACCCCTTCATACATACGGAATGGATTAACTAAAATAGTTAACTCCTACATGGATACGTGTCCTGTCAACTAAAACAGTTGAACGACATAACAGATGTTTGTTTTATCTTTTTGCATTTAGGAAGGAATTTATATATATATTTATGGTACCGTGATACGAGCTTGAGTCTCCTGATCACGGTTAGGGTGCGTATATTTGCAAAGGTTGAGTAGCTAGATATAGCTAATGTTCCCTGGTAAGTCTAGGTACTTGGCCGCTGAAAAGCGTGTTTTATAGGTCACTTTCTACTCAGGCTGAACTATGTTATAGGCTAGTGAGCATTCTATAGTGTGTATATATATATATGGACTATTGTAGATATTGCCGAGCTATCTAGGATGTATCTGCGTATCGGGTTTATGTACGGATCGTAGTAGATTGGAACTTGCATGTGGGCCTGACCCACTCCTATTTTTCAGGTGTTCGTGAGTACCAGGCTTAGATTTTGATCGTGGTGATGCAGATACAGTCACTCACTCTTCTGACTACATAGGATATTCTTTCTTATTTTGGTTTTGGATTTTAATTCTGTAAATATTTTACCAGTTGGAATTATTAGGGGTCCACTAGATGGATTCCCGAGTTGTACAGATTGGATGGATTTAAGTGTTATTAATTTATTATTTAAGGTTCGAGGATTTTCATTTTAGTTTCTTTTAGCGCATTATTATTTTATTCTTAATTAAGTTTTATTCTTGCTTGGTTACATATTAATTGTCTGATATCCCTCGGATTTGTGCTCGGACTTGATCACCCGTGGCTCTAGAAACGAGGGGTATCATAACAAGTCAGAACAAAAAATGGAGAAAAAAGAATTCAGAAAAAGGTATTACCTCCGTCCCCTTTTAATTGTCCGCCTTTTAATTGTCCGCCTAGTAAATTGTGATTCACATATAAGTCACAGTTTATCAAGCGGACAATTAAAAACTGAAGGAGTACTATATACAGAGGGAGAGGAGAGGAAAGAGACGCTTAGCATGGTAGAACAAATTTTTTTCTATATTAGATGTCCACAATGAGTAAAAAGGCATGTTTCAATGCAAGTATTTATACATCCATAATTCCTTATTTACTTTGACTGATCCAATTCATCACCATCCAAAGTTTCAAACCCAATTTCCTCAAAACTTTTTTTTTTTTTTTTTGGGTAAATGAACCTAGTTTTAGACTTCCAAGTTCCAACACTCAAACTTCAAATTTTATAATTCAATTTTCGATGGTTCACTTCCTGAATGTGGGTACAACTGTGATTCTTGTTACGGACATATAAGTCTTGGCGTCATCTACAGCTCCTTCTCTCTAGTCTTCGGCGAATCATTCGTCTGCAAATCAATCAAAGAAATGCGAACTTTCCAATCAGACCGCAATTGCCTAAAAAAGGAACCAAATATTTTGTAGCTCCTGAGCGCAAGCCTTAACATTCTCCAAATTAATGAGGACAAGAACTACCTCCACATCGTCACCCTCTCCACTACAGGGAAAACTAGAATCTTTCTAATCTTAATTGGTAGCAAGCCATGACTGAAGAACTGCAACCAGTAAGCAAAGACCGATGAAAAACCTGTGTTATATCTCTGCAACTCCCATCTCTATGATCGTATACGATTCCTCCCATCTCTACGATCGTATCTCAATGGGCACATTCTTTTGCAAAATTGGATACACAGACATATATATAGGTATAATGAGATAAATAGAGAGAGGACAAATTGAGGAAGACGAAGATAAAGGTAGACCTTAGGGCGTGTTTGAATGTGTATTGGGTTGAATAGTAATAGAAGGGCACTACAGTTTTTTACCTTTCACAAGGGCTACATGGTCATTTAATTAAATTTGGATTGTCCGACCGCCGGATTGGGCAAATTGCAACCGAAGAGCTAAGTTTAAGGGGGTTTTCTGCCACTTTAGTAGCCCTTGGGGTTATTTTGCTAAAAGGGATATAGTTGAGGGGTTTATTGTACTTTTACCTAAATAATATATACATAATATATAATTTTAGTAAGAGTGTGGCATAATAAAGAGTCCTGGGAGTCGTTAAACAGGAAATAGGCCAATACTTTTCTCTCTCTACGCCACGTTCTTCTTGGGTAAAGTCTGGATCAAATTCTGAGAAGGCTTGACCCCTAACGTATTCAAATTTCCAATTGAAACAGGTTCCAAGTCATAAATGGAGTCTGCTTATTCCCCAAATTCTCTTTCTTTCTGGGATTATCTCAGTCTACTCGTGTTTCGTCCCGTTATCGCCATTTCATTCGTCTTCTCCTTAATACTCCTTGGTCTCTCTCTCTCTCTCTATATATATTTATATACACACACGCACATACATATATTTAAGTATGTGGGTTGTTGAAATTTCTTCTAATACGAAGCTTTTATGGGTTTATGCAGGTTGGTTTTTGGCGTGGAAGCTAGTCCTGGTTCATGTTCCTTTAGTCCAAGAGATCTTCGGTTTGCGCAAAAAGCCCGTAAAACCCAAACCCCCAACGCGTCGACGATTTTCTCGATATTTCAACACCATCGCTGCTCAAAATCCGAATTCTTCGTGGTATTCCTTCAAACCCTTCTTTTAATTTTATATCTATATCTATATAGAATATGTATGTATATATTTCTGTATATATATATATATATATGCATATAGAATATTTATGCATGTATTTCTGTATATTGTACTAAATCTTAGACTTGGATCCTGCTCAAAAAAATGTTGAACTGGATTATTTGAGTTTGGTCAATGTTGTATGTCCAAGTTATTGTTTTTCTTCGCTATGTTGAGATTATGAAGAAGATGATTTGGGTTTTCACTGCTATGTTATCCCTTACAACATCCATTTAGATCATGGAAAATACTTAACAAATGTAAAATTTGGTTTAGGAAAATTCCGTGTATTTAATTTTGTTATCATTTTGATTTAAATTGTGACAAAATAGTGATGGCCTATATAACTAATTATTGTTGTGTTTCAGGTAGTGAATGTCACCGTTACACCCAGTATACTAATACAGTATTTCTCTTCGTATGATTTTGCCTTTGATGCTTCTATTTTTTTTTTTGCCCTAATACAGTAATACTTTCTCATCTTCAAATGACTTTCTGAAGTTAGACTTGATGCTTTTAAATTGCGTAGTGTGACTAAAAACATGTTATGTTCCCACTGTGCACATGCTATCTGGCTTGTAAAGTTGAACCTTCTTTGGAGCCCACTTTGACGATTTGGAAGCAACTCTATTGCTTTTTATTATAGTCAATTTTCACCTTGATGTTGAAGATTGTTCATGAATTATAGGGCCGGCCTACTAAAAAATGGATTTTATGTATTAAAATGCTATCAATTTATATAAATGATTTGAAAGATTTCGTAATGTTCTAATATACTGTAGAAAGCATCAGAACTATTTAGCTTACTCTAATTGGTCCGATACAGGTTGATAAAATAGTCATGATATGCATTCTTAAAGTGCTGCAGAATATGTTATAGACAGGTTGGTTATCATGATTTTGCATTGAAATTGGTCATAATACTATATTGTCTAGAAGTTAAAAGCTACACCAATTTAAATGTTTAAATATGTTCAAAACAGAATGCTCACTTTGTATATATTACTGTTAAGTTTACGTTCATACATGCTTCAAAGATGATAATGGCCCAAGAGAATCATTATTTTTTGTTTTAACGAGTACAAAATTCTAAGAATAAGGAACATTGCAGGGAAGCCAAAGCAATACGGGAATGGACACTTTAAAGGGAGATTTCTAATTTTATAACCTTCCAACTAAGAAGTAAATTTTCTTAGAGAATTCCTTCCATCTTTCTTAAAATACCCTTCCACATCCAACACCATACACTTGTTTAGCTCCAACATTCCCCCCAGTTTCACTATAGTTGGAAGCCACCACTCTCCGTTGAAAAGTATCATGATTAACTGCATATCTCTACAACAACTTTTCCCACCACATCTGATTAAACTCCCTTAATCTTCTATCTTCTAGGTCACTCATTCAAATCAGGGAGCAAACAGTATCCCATAACACTGACTTGGATTTGAACTAATTCCCATACACGCCCAAAGAAAATCTCAACCACAATCCTGAACAGACATGATTTGGGTAGGAAGGCATGAAATTGTAGGCTCGGTTAGTCTCCGTCACTTATATAGGTACTTCCTGTTACCGCTCAGTAACATTTTCTTAAACCTCTGAATCACTGCATGCCATGCTACTTTAAATTTGAAAGAGGAACTTGCCAACAATCCTGAATAAGGAGACGGGAGAATCACCACTCTATGCCCTAAAACATAGTTATATCCTCAATATACTCCACTCCATCAACCCGGAATCATCTTCAGCTTTCCTACATTAAATTTTAGTCCACCCACTACCTTAGAGCGAACAAGCATGTCTTTTGAGTAACTCACAGCTGATCAACCTGTATCCCCCAAAAATGATCCGTTGATCAGGTTGTATCCCCTCCAACCTGTCATTTGCATATAAAAGGTAGGGCTGCTGATCCTCTTAATTAATGATCCGTGAGAGGCTGAGAGCACATCACTTAGAACCTCTATTAACAAATTTTGGATTAGAGGACCATTGCCGAAGGCTCTGAAAGTCAGAGTACTCACGTTTCAGTTAGACCTTTGGGGGGGAGGGGGGGGGGGGGGGGGGGGGGGGGGGGGGGGGGTTGTTGAATAGTTCTTATGGATATCAAATTTGCAACTAACTAGCATTTCAAATTTATTCTAAATCTTATTTAAATTTCCGTTAATTAGTTAATCATGTATCTCTATTTCAATCCTTGAAATTCGGTGGGGGGTGGGGGGGTTTGGTGGTGTAGGGGGTTTTACGTGAAAACCTAGAAAGGTAAAAAGTACAGGACCTCATCTAGTCATGAACGTTCCACTGAGAGAAAGAAGTTGGTTCTCACCTTAGAAACTGCTAGATAGTTCTTGACAGACTGACACCAAGCTCTCCACTTGAGTCTTTTGCTGCTGCTCTGTCAACCGATATGCTTCTCACATGATTTGCTTCTCCATGGTTCTTCATTTCTTGATCTTCAAACTTTGATCAGTTGAACTGCTCTTGTTTAGTTGTCTCTGTTGTGCTCCTCATTTCTTGATCTTCATACTTTGATCAGTTGAACTGCTCTTGTTTAGTTGTCTCTGTTGTGCTCCTTATTTTGAGTAAAATCTGTTTCAAGAGAGTTTCCAGAAAAAAACTTTTTTTTGCACAGATCGTTGATTGATTGACACTGGCTTTTCCTCGGTCGATCAGTAAGAACTATTCTGGATTAAAGTAAGAATTATTGGGGTTTCGTTGATCCAATCAAGATATTGTTCAAACTATACTTTTTAAAACATTAGTATGAGTCTTTTAATGATCATAATTGGGTCATAAATGGTCTCAACTTACCTTACCCCAGATATGTGATTGAGTTTCAGGGGTTTGACACCCATTATAACCGAACTTTTGAGTAGCAATTTGGCAACACTCATGAACCTAACACCAAAAAAAGAATTAAAAAAAAAGAAGATAGAGAGAATATCGATTCCTCAACCCTCTTGAAGAAGCCAAGAAGTTAGAGAAACACACATTTGCCAAGAATGAAACATCAACATACACCATTTAGTTTACTTCCTTTAGCTCTCCCCAAATCCCATTTTTTCTCCATAAGCTTCCAAATTTTCGTTCAGAATATTTTTCTACCAAGAAAAACCTTATGCGAGTCTATCATCACCTTGCAGACCACTTCTTAGTCACAGGCTGACACTTTGGCCAAAAGTGTATAGATGCCTCACTTTTTTATTTGGTAAGATAAATGTATAAATACGAACAAACTGTACAATTTATGAGGAGAGGCATACCCCTATATACAAAGGAGAAGGAGCTCTTCAAAACATAAGTTCTTAATATTACAAGTATGGATGCCTCCCACCAAGACAATAAAATGGGTTCTTGAGATTTGCTGCTGCTTCCTTCTTAGGATTAAGAAGAGAGAGGAACTTAAATTCCTATCAAATTCTCATGACTTGTTGAAGCTATACATCACATCCTTCCTAATTATGCTGAGAGAATGGCATTGTCATCCATCAGACTATAAAGCCTTATTCCTGTTGAGAGATTGAAATGCCCCTACTACCTAATCTTCTGTGAAAGGCTTCTCAAGTGGCAGTCTTTCATCATCACTGATAGAAGAAAACTCCATGCAGACATTCTAGGACGTAATATTCTACCCTGCTCAGAATGCGACTGCTTGTAAAACTCTGCAATACCAACTCTAGTTCGTACTCAGTCCTGTCAACTCCATCAATACAAACTTTATTAATGTTATTATATCTTATAGGAATGTTTCGTATTCTGTCCCCTTCTTTACATAGGTCCCTTGACTTGTGCCTTTAGCAAATTTCCTGCATTTTTTTTTTCATTGGCAAGAAACATGCACGCACAGCTCACACACCCACTTTGCCCCTTTGGGGACTCGAACCCTCACCATTCACTTTGGGAGGTGGAGGAGATACCTCTAGTCTCTAGGGCATAAGGCCCGTGGTAATTTCCTTCATTTTAGCAATCCAGCCATACTTGACCTTCTTACTATCAGTTGCCTCGCTTTCCTCGTTTACCATCAGCCCATTCTTTGCAGTCCAAAAGCCTTTCTATCACACACTATTCTGCTTTTATGGCCTCCAGTTTCTTTTCTCCATTTCTTTAAGTTAGGTCATCCTTCCACCACTTAGCCCTTCAACCTATTCTGGCTCACTCTGCCCTCCACTTATTCCGAAACTTGAATCAACTTCTCCCTCTTTTCAAGCTCTGCCTGTGAATATGGTCCAATACTAGCCTCTGAAGTAATTATGAACAATGCCTGTAAAAAATTCTTCACACTCCCAGAGAAATCAAGAATTTATTGGTTCTCTGAAAACATCGAAGGAGGCCTTACATCTGCTTCTCCTCCATAGTGCATCTACAAATTTTCAGCTTAGTAAGTCCTTTCAACTTCGATCCAGCACTCTTCTTAACCGTTCCCATTAACTTTTGGCCCCATTTCTTATTAATGGCGATCAATGTGATCCTCTTGAATCCCTTGGCATGACCCAAATTTCCAATTTTTTTTTTTTTCCCTACTAAAATCTAGTTTTTTCTTCAGGACTGATTTCAATTTCCTTACTGAATTTTCCCCTTACGCTTCAATCATCAAACTCTTTGACATCTCCATAGAGCGTATGATGATGGCTACTGGGATGCATTTGATGGGTGGTGGCAGGTCTAATAGTCCCAGTTCTCCAGTAGTTCCTCTCATCTCTACCTAGGTGCTTTAAGCCATTTTACTTCAACTTGAAGAGTCCTCTTTTTTTTCCCACCATGAAACACCCCACTGCAGCAGGGAATATCTCCAGAGATTTTCCAGTATTTTCCTTTCATTTCCCACCCTTTCATCATCTTTCTCATTATTTCTCTTAAGCCCCATTACAGAGATTTGCTACTCCCTATCCCTTTCCATAGTCCACCATCTGCATTTTCCTGTTCACCATGAAACATCAAGTATGAAGTCTCGTAACCGGCAGGCAATATATGTGCCTAGTACACAAAATCTTGGTTACCTGGACCATCATCCCCTCCCCAATTTTTCCAAACAGCTTAACTCTGTCTTTCACCTCTTCAGCCTCCCTCTGCAAGTTTTCTACCCTTGGTCTAAGTTCCCCCAGGACCAACATGCACTGTTGGATCATAATTGATCAGTCTCGTGTTCATCTCCCTGTTGCAGAACTTACCTGCCAGCTCTCTGTTTCTCAGGCTTCTGTCTACCAATCTTCTTGTCCAAGATCAAGCCCGGCCAATGGTTAGATGGGCCGGTTCCATATGCACAATTTACCTGAATCCAAGTCCTTTAACTGCGTGGGTCTGTTTGGGTTCAGATTGAGTACGATCAAAGCTGCAATCTAACATTCTTCTAGCCAAACACCATCATATGACCACATAGTTATACTCTGGGGCTGAAGCAGGGCAAGCAATTCTAAAGCAGACTACCCAATTATATATATATATATATATATGTGGGCAAGTAAACTACCCGTTCATCAGATAGAGAACATCACAAAGATTTTGTGATCCGTTGCCAAAATATTTTAATTCCAACAGCTCGGATTGACTCGGGTATGATCTGAGCTTTCCAACATCCACTTTGAATTTTAAAGGAAGAATCAATTAATTTTTTGTAGTGGAACCTAATATTTCTCATGTCCCCCTCGAATAGATTCTTCTTTTTGGTTTCCAAAGGAATGACTCAATCAAAATGCAATTATCTCCAAGAACAAAACACAAGTTATGCTTAATATCCATAGTCTGTTGTTCCAACTCCTTGTGGGAGAACTTGAAAATCGTGCTACCAGTTTTGCAATTTTGATCTTCCTTATCTAAACTTGAACTCGAAAATCATCATCATCATCAACAGTGTTCTATTGTCTTACTTTACTCTTGCTTTCTCATTTCTTGTTTGAACTTTAAAAAGGTTTGTTTATTAGGGCATGTTTGGATATCCCCTAGTAATTGTGTCTCCATTGTGGTTCACGTAGCATTTAAATGTTTATATACTTATCCAAGATGGGGCCATAAATAATCTTGTCATAGTGGTACTGGATCAGTTTTAAGGTCTTCAGGAATGGACTTTTTAATGATTGATTGCCATCATTTGTGTTGCTGATGACCATTACACTTAGTAACCTATTTCTTGATCATGAATATGTATAGCAAGTGATTTTAAAACATACTTCATTAAATTATTGTAATGGGAAGTCCAAATGCATCCACAGAATCTGATATTTACTGTCAAGATCTGATTTTAGGATACGGAATTTGATGATGTTGTTGAACATTGCAGAAACTACTGCCTTGGATTGGGAGGGGAACAAAATTCTTGGAGTTGGTAATCTTTGGATGGATAAGAGAGAGCTTGATTTACAGAGTGAACATAAGTGAGTGTCGATCGCTGTTTCCCAACAAAGTAACTGAGCTTACAAGTTTAAGAAGGATGAAGATTTAGTGAATGTGCTTGTGTAAATTTGTTGATATCTAGAAACTGTGTTGTAAAAATTTTACTTACTTGAAAATAATCTCTAAACTTTGGTAGATTGAGCCTTTATCACTACAGCTAGCAATGGCCAACGGTAGGTCTGATTTCTATTCTTTGTTCTAACCAGGCAAGAATTTAATAAAGTGTCAATTATTTGGGTACTTCTAAATCAGTAGATTGTCTGTCTGTCTTTTCATGCCTGGGAAACAATTTCTTAAAGATGAGTTGCAGATAGGGATGCAAATAGAATTGAGTTGTTCATCTTGAGTTTGTTCATTGACCAAATGAGTTCGATTTTCAAGCTCCTTTAATAGATAAGTCAATTTTGAACAGTATTGGGCTCGTAAACATGAGTTCGTTTATCTTCACAAACATAGGCTGTTTTTAATCAAGTATCGTCTTTCTCAAGGCTTATCTTATAAGACTATATTGGTGAGATTAATTAGTAAGCTTGGTAAATGAACTGATTGAAAATGCTAATTGGTACCTTTTATGGATACAAGTTTAAACTGCTCGTGTAGTTGTATATTACAAATAAAACAATACTTAGGTCCTACCCTGTCTATACAAATATGAAGTTAAAATTCAACTCGTTCTATTACACTAACTCAACTCGAGCTTATCAAAAGTGTGACGGCCCAACTATTCAACTTTTTGAGTTTGCTACCATCTTCAGTCCAAAATGAACTTGTAACAAGTTGAGCCTTAATGTTGCGTTTGGTGTGTAGGTTGAAATGTTTGTAGGAATTGAATGGAATGGCCATTCCAACCATTCCTTTGGTTAGTATGTAATTTTAAGTGGGGATGATCATTCCATTGGAATAAAATTCATTCCATAACTAAACCTATAAAATGACCATTTCATTCCCAAATAATTTTTTTTAGAAAATCAACTTCCCATTAGAAAATCAACTTTCCAAAAAACCCTCATGTTCCAATTTCAAAAACCACCACTACCTTTCACCACAACCACCTCCGCCTTTCACCACCACTACCACCATCGACTTCCACCACTACAACTACCACCGCCTTCCACCACCACTCACCGCTTTCCACCACCACTACCATCACCTTTCACCACCGCCACCACCTTCCACCACCACCATCGCCTTTCACCACAGCCATCACCTTCTACCACCACTACCTTCCACCACCACCGCCATCACCACTGTCACTGCCTTTCACCACCACTATTGCCTTCCACCACTGACTTCCACCGCCACTGCATTCGACCACAACCACCACCGTTGCTGCCTTCCACCACCATCGCCTTTCACCGCCACTGCCTTCCACCACCGCTACTGCCTTCCACCACTGCCACCGCCTTCTACGACCACCACTACCTTTCACCACCGCCACCGTTTTCCATCACCGCTATTGTCTTCTACTACCACTTCCGTCACCACCTTCTACTACCACCACCGCCACCGTCACCACCGCCACCGTCACCGTCTTCCACCACCGTCATCACCTTCTACTACCACCATCGCCACTGCCACCATCTACAACCACCGCTTTCTACTACCACCACCGCCTTTCACCACCGTCACCACCTTCCGCCTTCCGCCTTCCGCCACCGCCATCACCACTGCCTTCCACACCACCATTGCCACCTACACCACTACTGCTTTCCACCTCCACCACCATCGTCACCACCATCCACCATCACCACTACCACCATTTATTTTTTAAAAAATTTTAGAAAAATGTCATTTTGTTAATTTAATTTTAGGATAATTTCAAAAAAATGGAATTTTGTAGGTGAGAGGCCGAAAAGATGGAGTTAAACTTCAGTTTTCCAAATAAATGGAGTTTTATGAAAAGCTGACGTGGACATGGAAATTTGTTATGAAATGACCTAACTGCCCTTTCTCTCTCTTCATACTTTCCATGCTTTCCCATCTTTCTTTTTATCTCTTTTTGAAGAGATTTCAAAACTTCCATGCTTTCCCTGAGACGACCCTGGATTTTTCAACCCAGTGTGTCCTGTGATGACTCGAAGCGGATCCAAAATGTGGAAGCAAAACAAAACCAAGTCCTTAGAGATGTACATCATCCCTAAGACACAAGAATGACCCTTCAACGAATTTCGAGACTTAGCGGAAGCAAAATGAAGACAAGGGTATCAAAATCCTACCAAAAGAAGGACCAGGGGTAAAATGGTCATTTTACCCTAAGAGGAAGCAATTTGAATCCCAACAAGTCAAATGAGATCAAAAACATCCAAAAACATCCTTTGGTAACTTCACATGAAGTCTCAAGGCCAGCGGAAATGAAATCCCAGAAGAACCCTATCCCGGTTCGAACCAAATCCGACACCCTCTCACTAAAACGAGGATATTATGAGCTAGGAAAAGAATCTGAAATTGAAATTCATACCATTGAAAAGCTTATTTCGACGCGGTCAGTTTAGACTCAAGAACGGACCAATTCGGAGTTAAAACGAAGAAGTTACATCAGTTTGAAGTTGGAAGTCCAAAACTGAAAACTCTGGAAGACTTGAACCAGTTCAACATTGGCAGTACGCCCAAGCTGAACCAAAATGACACCTTGAACCGGTTCAGCCCCTCTGAACCGGTTCAACTCACCCATAATTGAACAAATGCAGCAGAAACAGTGTTTTAACAGAAAAATGAGTTTGCGACACGGTTTTCGAGGTCAAGATGGCATTTTTCAGAAAAATGTCGTGAAGAAACTCCTCCTAAAATCACATTTTCTATGTGACAGAGTCAAGAACGGAATTTATTTCCCAAAGGAAATTCCCAAAATACCTTTAAGCTAAATTTTTCAACAAAAAGGTGAAATGAGTCCATAGGAGGCTCAAAACACAAACCAAAGGGGTTTTCATGAAAACGATCATTCACGCAAACGTAAATAGTGATTTTGAGCTCACGGGAATGGTCCGCGGCTCCCAGAAATGATCGAGTCAAAATCCGACCCCCCGACGGCCAAAAAGGCGAAAATGAACTTAAAATGGAAACTTTAAAAACCAAAATCAACAAATGACTTCAAATGACCGTTTGGCCCTTGGCCACACTTAGTACATGATTAATGAGACCCTATGAAAGAATGAAAAATGGAATTCCCACACCCGATGCAAACATGGTGAAACTATTACTTGGTATTTTTCAATATTTTCATAATATTTCATGAAATCATAAGTCTCATAGGATACAAAATACATGACATTGGCCTCCGGTCTCATCTTATACATGTTGAATACATTGTAAGGAGTGCACTCATGTACACACTACATATATGGAATCAAATATACACATTTTGACAAATAAGGTTACAAATAGCATTCCAAGCCAACCTTCACAAAGATAGAAACCTCCAAGTCCATAAACCATCCAAGCATAATGAGAGTCTTAACTTTAATTCCTGTATCTGAAAAATGTCCCCACAACGTGGGTGAGTAACATAAAGCTACTCGTAGGAGATGAGCATGCATCAACCTAACTTTTTACAATTTTATCACCTTAAGGTGAAACATGTTAAAGGGGCTCATGCCACCTAACGTCTATGTCAAAATGTGACCCAGGGAGTATCCTAAGCTACCTAAAGATCATTTCTAGCACAAATCACATCATTCGTGCAATTCAAGTAACATGGGAGCATGCTATACAAAGCAACAAGATGTAGATTCTCAAGGTCACTAACTTGAAATCTAAAATGCTAAAACAATTATAGTGGATCATGCCACCTGAAGTCTATGTTCCAAATGAATCTGTAGGATTATTCCAAAGTCACATTTGAACAACAAAGAACAAATCACAATATCTACGGAATTAACCAACATAGAATCATGCTGCACAAGTATCAAGATATAGATTCTCAAGGTTACCATCTTGAAATCTAAAATGCAATAACAACTAAATATAACAATTTAGTATAATTAGAATTTCAAATACTACACATCAAGACATAGATTCTCTAAGTTATCAACTTGAAATCTAAAAGTGTGAAAACAACTAAATATAACAATTTAATATGGATGTACTTAACAACATCAATCGCCAAAAGCCAAAACCACAAGTCACAATCAAACATGATTGTCAACTTGGAATTGAATACGAAATCAAATAGTGGAAGATTTGGACATCACGTCTCGGATTTCCGCCGAGAATTAAATAGTTATTCCGGGCATTAACCCGCTGGGAAGATCACCCTAGTGCGTACTATCTCAATTGGGGAGAACTCATACCTCCCGCACTAGAGTCAAACTCTAGCCATGTCACTTGTAACAATGTCTCAAGACTCCAAAGTAATCAAATAAGTTCACAACTTATACGTAATTTATATAATGCACGAAAACCACATTCCATACACAAGTAGGTTGAAACCACACAATCCATGCCTTAGAGTTTCAATTCTAAGATGGCATATATAATGTCAATTACAAAGTGTGCAATTCATTACACATGACATTAATATATTCCATAAAGAAAACATGTTCTCATGAATATAAATATAACAAAGTTGTCCAATGCTCAAAACACAACAAAGTGAATACATAACAAGTTCAAGTCCATGATTTGAATGTAGTAACAACTTCTAAAATGCCAATAGATCCATGGAACCATTAGATATAATTTAATTAAACAAGATAATCAAATTCTCTAAATTTCAAATCAAATTCGAATAACCTCAAATTAATATATGTTAAACAACATAGCATGCTTATTACATATATCAAATCAAAAGTGTCAAATGAGTAAGATAGCATCGTATAAAATTTAATTTATTTAAATTAATCAAATCTCTAGATTTCAAAAGTTATTCAAATGATCCCTAATTAACATATATCAAGCACCAAATCATGGTCATACCATATCTCAAGTTTAAAATAGAATACAAGTAAAATACAATTTACTAGAATTTAAATCAAATTAAATCCATTTAATCTCTAGATTTGAAAATTCATCTAAATCATCCCAAATTAATATATATCAAAGATCAACTCATGGCTATGCTATTTACCAAATCTAAAATGAGTTATATGCAAGATATGATAAATCACTAATTTTTCTCAAATTAACAAAATACATGCATACAACTTATAAAAGCATCAATAGCATGTAAGAAACAAAAATAGAACCCTATAACATCCCCTACCTCACTAGAGAAGAGTCTCTCTAGAATTCAAGGCAAATCAACA